CCAATGGTGATGATTTTGCCGATTTAGAAACGCTGAAAACTAACTTAAAAAACAAAGACAAAGAAAAAGTGGTCGGAGCAGTCGTGACGGCAGCCGACCTCACCGGCGCCATCTTTTTTTTATCTTCAAATGTTCAACAAAAACATGTATCGCTAATTCATAATGAAGAAAGCTTTGTAACTATCCCCACTAGTGAAGACTGTCATTTCCACAAACCCAAGCCCATCTGTTCTCTGATTGGATTGTTAAATTTGTGATTGACATGACATTGGCCAGTGAGATGAAAGGAAGAAAAATAGGGTCAAAATTCGTACTTGTAACTTGAAACTTGAGTGTAGAGTTTAGTCCACACACAAATCTTTTTACACATACAAATCCTGATTCACAAGCACAAAACTTTTATGACCACAATTTGAGCCCATATTAGCAAGCTAACGTACCTCTGCAAACATGTTCACAGACAGTTTAGGAGGATTCACGTGTGCTTGTGTCGGGCTTTAATGGGGTCTACTCTCATTCTGTGTGTTTGTTGTGACATCACATGTTGTCAGACTGGACTGTCATGGCCACCAACATTTATACCTGTGCATGGCGAAGCTCCACCAGTTTGGAGTAGTTGGAGGTGGAGTTTCTCTCTTTGAGGTGATTCAATTCAGTTTTATTTACACAGCGCCAAATTACAACAGTCACCTCAAAGCGCTTTATACTGTAAGGTAGACCCTACGATAACACATAAAGAGAAAACCCAACAGTCCTGTGACCGACCGCCTACGAGCGAGCGCTTTGGCAACAGTGGGAAGGCCGCACTGAGTCGTAGTCGTTGCCGACTGTGATGATAAATGTTTCGTGTTTCTAGGACGGTCACAGCGTACATTTCAGAAGCGTTTGCATTTATGACAGTGCAGCTTGCCTCATCAGTGATTGGTTGTTGAAGTTGTGACAGCCCCGTGAGCCAGGTTATACAAATCGATGATGATCAGTAACTGCTCGCTGATCATTTGGTGCACTTACGCAGCGCTGTTGGTTTGAAGAGCGCCCCATCCTCGTCCAGATACATCCAACGTCAGGCAAAAAAGCAGCACATACGTGTGAATCTGCACATGGTCTCAGGTCATTAATGTGCCGAAAGTCCTCCATCAGCACCCCAACAGAACGTGGCGGTGTCCTGGGCTGCTGATGGGTTAAACAGACATTTGAATGTTTGCTGTGAGTAATTATGTGTTTCCTTGAAACCCTCCTTGAGTAGTTAAACGTCAGTTTATTCTAATCAGTTTATTAAAACACGTGGGTCGGGTGCTAGGTAGTGAGAGAAATCAACATGAATGAATCAGCTCCTGGCTCACGTTTACAGCTGCTGCTCGGCTGGTTTGGCCGTTACACGCTGTGTTTCAGCATCAGGAAGGTGTGACGCTACCAAGGCGTGGATACTGGATAGGACTGCTCGATTATGGCAAAAATGGTAATCACGATTATATTCACTGAAATTGAGATCTCGATTATTTGACGATATTTATTTAACTCTTTAAGTCCTACCATAGAACCAAGTCCACCAGAGCTTATATTATTTTTTTTACATGCTGTAGTGCCATTTGTGGGAGCATTTCAAGTTGCTATACAACAATTATAGCCCATATTTTAATAATATGTATGCATTAAGTCCATAGTAACTACATTAATTGCAAAAAAGTGCAATAAGCTACAAAAAAATTGAAAATCGTTTTTGTTTTTTTTTAACATATATTTCTACTTGGAGAAATTTAAGAGGCTTATCCCTCAAAACTTTAAATACAAAAAAGTTGCAAAAAATAGTTTCCCACCACAGGAAATTTATTTTGAGTGTCTTCATAGTTTTATTTTGGAGATACAGCAATTTTTATATACTGCAGGAAAAACAAAAAACAATCCTATGATGCAAATTTGCAAAGAAAACAGCAGGTGCATCAAAATAAACTATTTCCAGCAGTGCAATTCGAGTTCTAAGCATCCCAGCAACTATTCAGAAAAGTCAAACATGACTTATAAAAACACCAGTATAGGCTTTTAAGGCCTACAAGTAAAAAAAACTACATTTTCCGCGAATATGGCGTCACTTCTGGTTTTGGACAGGAAATGGCGGACATGTGATAGTTCGCGCTGACGTCTGTTTCAATGTGGGAAGTGTTACGAACAGCTGATCAGATCGGCAAAGCGTGTTTCTGGAATATTATGTTTTTGTTCCTGCAAGCGCTTTTTATGCAATTTTTTGCAAAGCTTTATGTGGAAGGAAACCGTGACTGAGGACAAGCTGATGGCATAAGATGTAAGTTTCATATGCAAAAAATTTTTTTGCGCTAGCTTACATGGTTCAGGTTCTACAGGGATTTAAAAATAGTTACACAAAACGGAGCGTGCTGCTCTGACCGGCTTTAAAGGGTTAACAATAACAATGTATTGAATAATGACTTTAAAAAATAATATAAAATAGTGTGCAAATACTGATAACAGTGCAAATGTTTGCAATATAAGAAATAAATGAAAAATGTAAACATCTATGTTTAGTGAACTTTGCAGTGTTGCTCTGTGGTGCAGCTACGACACCGTAGCAAAGTTTACACACTGTGTCTACTTGATCCACGTCTGACTGAACCCATAATGTTTCCACACCACTGAAGCTTTTTTTACCTCTTTTCAACCAACAGCAGTCACTCTCCTCTCCAAATAACTTCTGCTTAGCTTTCCGAGCTTCCCTCGGGTCCTCTTAATTGTTGTGACACGTGTTCGAAATGCAGAGAGGTGCGCTCGATTTGCCACACGGAGCAGCGCAAGAGTAAAGCTTGAGGGAGGGGCTAATAATCGGCTCAGTCATTTTTAATGATCGTTGAAAGCCCAGATCGTAATCGTGATTAAAATTCGATTAATTGAGCAGCCCTAATACTGGACGAGTCAGATCCAGATTATTGATTGCGTTAATGAGCGGCTAGTCATGAAAACAACGCTGCTGAGCGGAGGGTTATAGACTGAATTTAGACTGTTGAGTTTCATTGTGACCGCTGCAAGTTTGTGCTCAAGTTGAAATTTTGCGTAAGAAGTTACTGCCGCTATAAAAACCGTCTGAGGGATACACGTTGACATCTTCAATGCAGAGTCACACAAGGTAAGAAACTCTTTAAAAGGAGCTCCTGTTTTTGCTCTGAATGCAGGCTGTCGCTCTTCTCCCCGCCATCTTGACTCTCCATCATTTTTCTTTCTTTGTTCTTGTTTAGCAGACTTCCGTGACTCTGTCGCCTTCGAAGGAGTCCCTGCACACGCCGCCCGACGCCACTGCAGCTCCAGCCCCGCCCCCCGAGCCCTTTGAATACTATGACGCTGGAAACCACTGGTGCAAAAACTGTAACGCTACGTGTGGTTCCATGTTTGATTTTTTCACACACTTGCACAGCAAAACGCACCTAAAGGTTGGTTTTCACTTTAAAGCATCATCGCCCACATTGTCTGAAATTCTCCCTCTTTGATATTCAGTTGATATTCATACCTCGGCGGGCTCCTCGTGTTTGCTCTGTTACATTTCATGTTCTTCTCCGTCCCTCAGACTCTGGACCCGTATGACCGACCCTGGGCTTCCACTCCGAGCAAAATCAAAAAGAACCAGCTGCCAGACGAGAAGCTGACTAAACCTGCTAAAGGTACTTGTGCTGCACCTTCAGAGGATCCTGCAGACGTATCACAGTCTGTTTTTTGAACCACTGAATTTTGTTAGCCATATTTTGGTTCCAGGTGGAGCTCAGTGTGGATCTCTGCTGCCATTTCTGTCTCTTAATGAAAACAGTGATAATGAAGTGATTCGCATCGAAGCATAGGGGAGACTGCTGTCCGCACCTCCAGTGCTGATTCGTTTCCTTTTCATGCCTCACATGGCTCTGAAAGCTGCTGAAAATGCAACAACAGTTGGTAAAGTGCGCTAAGTTCTTGGTGCAGGTGTGTTCGTATCACCCCAAAAACAGCTTGACTGCATCTCCTGCAGGCACCCGGTTATTGCTGAGGAGCTGCAGCATTTTTCCATCTTTCACTGGTCTTAAATAACCACTCAACTCTTTACCATCTGTTTTCCAAAAAAGTCAGCACCCCGCCTCTTTAACCTTCTCCTTTTTTGACAGGTACTGGAAATGGACACTTCCATAAGGTAAACATGATTGGTAGCTCATTTATCCTCCGTTTGAGGGTTGAAAATATCATGTGTGTCGCGCTGCAGGTTCGGAGTTCCTGGTACCCGTCAGAGGATTCTTCTGCCTGCTGTGCAGAGAGTTTTATGGCGACGGCATCTGTGCAGAAGAGCATGTCACCACGCACGCTCACAACGAGAAGTATAAGGTTTGGAACTCAATGACTTAAGCATTGCCAAATATACAGAGATCTGTGCCACCTAAACCTTTAAAGGTGGTCAGGCCTGCCTTTTCTTGATTTGATATAGATAAAGGATAGATATAAATAAAGCAACACTTCACACATCGGATCGCAGAAGATCCCTCCCCATCCTGGAAATCTGGACAGCCACATGGTTTAATGGAAGAGAAAATTATGAACCTTTACAGATGACTGAATTCAAAGACGTCAACAGTCAAAACGAAAAGGCTTGTTCATTATGCTGAAATTTCATTGCAGCACCTAAAAATGCTCCTCAGTTCTCATCCTGTACAAAGGAGCAGACATCAGTTCTGCTGTTGGGCTGAGGGGCATCTATGTCCAGCTTAGAGTAACTGCCTGTCACCTGGAATTTTCCCCATGCTCTAAAAAGTGTTGCTTTGAATTATTTGAGCAGTGTGTTTCTGGGGTTTGATCAATTCTGATGTGTAGATTGTAAGATTACATGTTTATATGTCAAGTGACCAAAGTGGACTTCAATATATATTCTTGACTCTTCCTCACCAGAAACAAATGTATGAGAACCCACTGTACGAGCAGAGGCGGAACCTGGACCGCCAGGCGGGACTGGCCTTAGAGGCAAGTGGAAAGAAACGCAAACATGATGACGATGAGAAAGGCAGCAAAGAGGAAAAGTCCAAACACAAAAAAGAGAAAAAGGAAAAGGAGAAAAAGAAAGAAGAGAATGCTTCAAAGGAGGACAAGTCCAAAATTAAAAAGGAGGAAGACGAGGATAAGCTGAAGCCAAGCAAAAAGGAAGATTTTAAGAATGCCAAGAGCCCTGAAAAGGAGTGGCCTTATTACAGCAAGAAAAATAATGATGAAAAGTACAACTACAGCAAGAAGGATGACAAGTACCATTACAGCCGAGAGGAAGACGAGAGGGACAGCCGGCACAGATACAGCAGGGATGAGGAATATCGGTACCATTACCGCACCGATGCTAATGACCGTCCCAAATATGGTTCAAAAGATGATGGGGACAAATTTAAAGGTGGCAAATATTCAGATGCCAGATCCAAATATGAGAAGGAGCGAGATGAATGCAAACCTAAACCTGAGAGGGAAGGTTTTAAAACGTTTGAGCCAGAGAAGCCGGCAGTCAGCAACCCCGAACCACTACCAAAACCCTACGAACCGCCCAAAATTCTTTGTGGCCCCAGTCCGGCCATGAGGGCCAAGCTCCGCAAGCAGAGCCTGGAGGCCGGCAAACCAACTACAGCAGCAACAACCACATTCGGAAAGTTCATTTGGAAGAAGAAGGAGAACGTGCTTGCAAAGGAGGCAGAGAAAGTTGCTGCAGAATTCATCAAAGAGGATGAAGCTGCTGCCAAGTCCCCTTCGGTGGAAGACTCTTTTGCAAAGTCAGTAGCTGTTGCCAAAGAGATCGCAGAGAAGCTGGGAAACAAACCAAGCGTATCTGCTCCCTGGATGTCCAACCGGGGACGGATCCGACCCAACCTCCCTACACCTGCTCTAGGTCTGAGGAAGCCAACCATGATGGGCAGACCTGCATCTCTGAATACCTTTCTGTCCATTAAACCCCAAAACCCTACTTTAGTAGAGTCTCTTCCAACAGAGGGCGCAGTACTCCCGCCTCCTCCCGTGAGTTCCGGAAATGGTCTGCTTCAGACTAAAATGGTCCCATACGTTGATAAACTTGGGCCATTTGAGGCAGTCCTTCCCTTGTTTCAGGTTAGACCTCCACCCGTGGTGCCTGTACCAGCTGAAGTTAAATCTACTCTGCCAGTTTTTGAACCTGCCCGAGTCCAGCCAAATCCTGCCCCTGCTGGTGTTACAACTCCTACACCTTCTAAATTTAATACTACTCCACCAGTTTTTGAACCTGCCCGAGTCCAGCCAAATCCTGCCCCTGCAGGTCTCACAACTCCTACACCTTCTAAATTTAACCCTGCTCCACCA